GTCCTTGTGAGGAGGGTCCGAAAGAGCTCTCTAATCTTCGCATAGGGAAAAAGACGCTGATGGGAGGGAGATAGAGCCCATTAGATGTGAAGTCAGTGCCGCGGGGAAATCTAAGTATGTATCTGAACACGATGGAGCTGGGGATGCAGCTGGTTCTGGCAGTCTCAGCCATGCCACCACGAGGATCTGCCATAATGGCCTGGGGGCTGGAGGCCTGGGTACCCAGGAAAAAAAGGTTTGAAAGCAGATCGAGCAGCAAGTCCTGTCTTTAACTTTCCTGCGCACTGTGCTTATGCTTGGGCTGAAAGGCTGTTAGGTGAGAGTGTAATGCCGGAGGGAGACGGGAGCTCAGGAGAGGCACATCTTCACGCAGCCATGTCTAAGCCATGCTCCCGGCACATTCTACTTCTAATGTATATTCGTTTTATACAGGGCAAATATGTCAAATGACAAACTTTGTGGAAGTATGTGGTTTTCAGAAGACAACCACAGCGATTGAGAAACATATTAGGGTGGGATCAAGGACAAAGAAAAAAGATGAAGAAAAAATATAATTTCCACATATAACTATAACACTCTAATATGAAAATGGTGGTGTATGCTGTGGTTATTTAAATATTGTGATATGCGATTTGATTATTCTGTTTAAACATAACTCACATACAAAATCCTAGCCAGGCAACCTTGAGAACTGTTCTAGCCTGTCTGTATATTACCCTGATCAGTGGAAAACTGTTACAAGATTTTTCACTTAAACTCTTTTACATACATGTTGTTCTGTGGTGCCCTCTGAACAGCAACCTGCGTTTGGATTGCTTTTCAGAGGGCATGTGACAGGCAGTAAGGAGACATTGCATCCTCACCTTCTACCGTGCATTTCATCCCCATTGGATACAATGAGCAAGTTTAACAGGTGCCACTGACAGTCAAAGTTTGCACCCATGTTAAAAGTGCTGCGGCACAAAGCATTGCAGCCATGGCATGTGCAGCGATACAGACTGCCAAGCTGTATTTTAACAAACTGGGGTGGGAGGCCAGCCAGAAGAGAGGTAAAATGGTGGAACTACACTTAGAGCCAAAAATATTGGCACCCCTGCATTTCTGTCAGATAATGCACCACTTTGTCCAGAAAATTGTTGCAATTACAAATGTTGAGGCATTCTTATGTTTATTTCTTTTGTTTGTATTGGTATGACACAACAAAACAAAAAGCCAAATCTGACACATTCCACGCAAAACCCCAATCATAGAGTGGACAAAATTATTGGAACCTCCTCAAAATTGTAAGAAATAATTGCATTCCAAGTTTGTGATGCTCCTTTAATTTGTATTTAAACTTCATTGTATAATAGAACAGGTGCTGACAATCTAGAAATCACATCGGCAAACAGATAAAATGGTGAAAAATTTAGCCTGTTGTGTGTCTCTGTGTGCCACATAAAGCATGGAGAAGAGAAAGAGCAGCAAAGAATTGTCTGAGGATTTGAGAACAAAAATTGTGGAAAAGCATGGACAATCTCAAGGTTACAAGTCCACCTCCAGAGATCTTAATGTTCCTGTGTCCACAATGTGAAATATTGACAAGAAGTTTACAGCCGATGACACTATAGCTAATCTCTCTGGACAAAAGAAAAAAATTGATCAAAGTTTGCAAGGATTGTTCGAATGGTGGATAAAGAACCTTCAACTACCAGACAAATTGAAGCTTACCTTCAGGCACAGGATACAACTGTGTCAGCTTGCACTATATGTCGCAATCTGAAAAGGGACGCTATATAGCAGGAGACCCAAGAGGACACTACTGCTGACACAGAAACATGTGCAGTATGCCAAAACTTACCTGAAGAAGCCAAAGTCCTTTTGGGAGAATGTGCTGTGGACAGACGAAACAAGATTACAGCTTTTTTGGTAAAGCCCATCATTCTATTTTCATAAAAAGAAATGAGGCCTTTAAAGAAAAGAATACAGTCCCTACAGTCAAACGTGGTGAAGGTTTACTGATGTTTTGAGGTTGCTTTGCTGCTTCAGGCACTGGATGTCTTGACTGTGTGTATGGCATTATGAGATCTAAAGACTACCAAAGAATTCTGGGGTGTTATGTACAGCCCAGTGTCAGAATGTTGGGTCTCCATTAGAGGTCATGGGTCTTACAGCAGGACAATGGTCCAAAGCACACATCAAAAAGCACCCTAAAATGGTTTCAGACAAAGCGCTGGAAAGTACTGAACTGGCCCTGATCTAAATCCCATAGAGCACCTGCAAAGAGATCAAAAAACAGCAGTTGGGAAAAGGAACCCTTTTAATCTGAGAGATCTGCAGCAGTTGATGAAAGAAGAGTGGTCCAAAATCCTAGTAGAGAGGTGTAAGAAATGCATTGATGGTTACAGGAAGCGATTGATTTCAGGTATTTTTTCCAAGGGCTGTGCTACCAAATATTAAATTGAGGGTGCCAAAAATTTTGCCCAGTCCATTTTTGGCATTTTGGGTGGAATGTGTCAGATTTGGCTTTTTGTTTCTCCACTTTTTTGTGTTGTAACAATGCAAACAAAAGAAAAACACGAGAATTTCTAAATATGTGTAATTGCAATGTTTTCTGGCGAAGTAGTGCATTATCTGACAAAAATGGCCAATATTTTTAGCCATGACTGTATATATATTGTGGTCAACAAGACAACGGTTGGGCTGTATTCACACTGGCTATTATTATTATACAGTATTTATATAGCGCTAAAAGGTTTGCTCAGCGCTGTACATTATAGTGGGGAACAGAACATGAGACAATACAGTAACAATACAATACACGAGGGGTTCGAGGGCCCTGCTCTTTCGAGCTTACAATCTAGGAGGGGGGGGGGGGGGGATAGTGGTACAGGAGGAAGTAGCTGTGGGGGATGGAGTGGTAGGAGGAGATCGGCTGTTAGGTGAGGGCGGGGTAGGCTTCCCTGAAGAGATGGGTTTTCAGGGTGCGCCTAAAGGTGAGGAGGGTAGGTGACAGTCTGATGGATTGGGGTAGTGAGTTCCAGAGGATAAGGGGAAGTCCTGGAAAAGTCCTGCAGTCGGGCGTGGGAGGTGGAGACCAGGGAGCTAGAAAGTAGGAGGTCTTGTGAGGAGCGAAGATTACGGGTAGGGTGGTATTTGGGTATCAGGTCAGTGAGGTAGTTTGGGGCAGCATTGTGAATGGCTTTGTATGTCTGTGTTAGTAGTTTGAATTTAATGCGTTGGGCAATCGGGAGCCAGTGGAGGGAATGACAGAGGGAGGTGGCAGATGCGGAGCAGTTGGTAAGGTGGATGAGTCTGGCCGCTGAGTTCAGGATAGACTGAAGCGGGGATAGTCTGCGACGAGGTAGGCCGGTGAGAAGGGAGTTGCAGTAGTCCAGACGTGAGATAATAAAGGAATGAACGAGTAGTTTAGTAGTGTCTTGGGTTAGGAACGAATGTATTTTGGAGATGTTGCGGAGGTGGACGCTGCATGAGTTTGCCAACGATTGGACATGGGGTTGGAAGGACAAGTTTGAGTCTAGAGCAGCAATGGGCAAACTACGGCCCGGCGGACCTTTTAATCCGGCCCGCAGAGCTAGGCTCCTCTCACAGTCCGCCCTGAAGACCGGTGTAGCATGAAAATCTGTCTCCTATGAGGATCTGTCCCCCTCGACGTATCTGCGCATGTGCCGGAGATCGCTGATCGGCTGCTAATGCCTGAAACTGGCACATGCGCAGATACGTCGAGTGGGACAGATCCTCATAGGAGACAGATTTTCATGCTACACCGGAACGGCGCGGGAACACGGCGAAAGGAACGCGCGGAGCAAAGGTAATTGAATTGACACAGGGGGGACTTGGGGACTTAATATGAGGAATGAATTACTATAGGGGGGATGAATTACTATATGGGGGATGAATTACTATGGGGGATGAATTACTATATGGGGGATGAATTACTATATGGGGGATGAATTACTATAGGGGGGATGAATTACTATATGGGGGATGAATTACTATGGGGGATGAATTACTATATGGGGGATGAATTACTATGGGGGATGAATTACTATATGGGGGATTAATTACTATGCTTACTATGGGGGAATATTACTATACTTACTATGGATGACACATACACATCATTCATCTACTCTTGGTCCAGCCCCCGGGTCCAATATATGAACCCATTGCGGCCCTCAAGTCAAAAAGTTTGCCCACCCCCTGGTCTAGAGTGACACCTAGGACTTTGGCTTGTGGGGTGGGACTGATGGTGGCATTGTTGGTCATGATAGAGAGGGTGGGGGGGGGGAGGGGGGCACTGGCTGGGGGGAAAATCAGGAGCTAGCGATAAAATGCAGGGAAAATGTACATTTCCATTCAATTCTTGTGTGTTTTAGCACACTTTAAACTGCACTGCATTTTGCAGGATTTCCTGTGACATCACATCCTGTGGGTCACAAAAAAAAGAAAAAAATAATCCCAAAGCAAACTTTTTTTCTTTACCTGCCTTGATCTGTATTGCGTTAAAATGCATACATGTTGCAATTTAACGCAATGCAGGTCAATGCAGCTTTGTAGTGTGAATAGGGCACTTTTTTTTTTTTTAGGTGCCCTTGTGTTGACCTGTGTTTTACAGCTGCGTGGATCAACGAACTAGTGTGAATTGGCCCTTACTACATTCTGTTTTTCAACATCTCTAAACACATTGTACGGATTGTCTAAAAACTGGATCATACATATTACTGGATGCACACAGTTGCTTCTAGTTTGGAAGAGTTACTCATGTAATCTATATTAAATATAAGAATCAGTTGTTTAAGTATTTTCTAACATATAACCATAATTGTTTTATGAAAACTATCCATTTTTATTTTTGCCGTTGCAATAAAAGTACATAAACCCAGATTATTTCACACCTAAATCAGCAATGACTAAACATTTGATGTTTGGAAGTCATGAAAATGGGCAGTGGAAAACAGATGATTTTTTGACACAGCATAAAAGAATTGTACACTCACCAGCCCACTTGCTGCAACCACCAGCATGTACGGATTTGAAGTCAAAAGCTGAACAAAAGAAATTAAACAAGTGATAAAACAATCCTGGTTTCACATCTCTAGAAAATACAAGCAATTATAGTTATTTCTACAAAGAGGGTGTCACTAAAATGTCAACATTTTCCAGATATAGAAGGTGGTCAGCACGGACTTTTTAAATTAAGTCTTACAAAGACATTAAATTCTGTGTTTCTTATCTGTAGAACATGAATTTCATAAAAGTAAAAAAAAAGAAGAAACTTTTAGCACAGGAATTTCTGTTCCTAAAATGTAACATTTTTCAGTATTAATGTCTTCTTCAGACAGAAAATATTTACACATCATTGCTGCCTTAACCACTTCAATACCGGGCACTTTTACCCCCTTCCTGCCCAGGCCAATTTTCAGGTTTCAGCGCTCTCACACTTTGAATGACAATTGCGGGGTCATGCAACACTGCCCAAACTAAAATTTTATCATTTTGTTCACACAACTAGAGCTTTCTTTTGGTGGTATTTAATCATCACTGGGGTTGCTAATTTAATTTTAAAAAAAAAAATTTGAAAAAGTTTTTCTTTGTTTCTGTTATAAAAGTTTGCAAGTAAATAATTGTTCTTCATAAATTTAGTCCAAGATGTATTCTGCTACATTTCTTTGGTGAAAATAACCCAAATCAGTGTTTATTATTTAGTCTGTAGGAAAGTTATAGAGATCACAAACTATGGGATATATCTGAAAATTGACCAATCCTGAAGTATTGACGGTCAATCTAATTTCTTGAGACCCGAAAATGTCAGAACAGTACAGATATTGCCCAAATGACCCCTTTTTGCAAAGTAGACAGTCTGACGTATTTCATAAAAGGCATGGTGAGTTTTTTTTAAGTTTTAATTTTTGTGTCATCATTTTTCGGAAAATTAAGAAATGAAAAAAATTTTCACCATTTTTTTTTTTACATACTGTCACTAGTGCAGTACAGCGTCAGCATATAACTGGTGTGGCAGTGATCAGGGACACTACTAGTGACAATACGAAAAAAAAAAATTATAGTTTTTTTTCAATTTTTTTTAAATTGTTTTTATTTTTTATTCATTTTTTTTAAAGATTTTTTTTAAGATTTCTTACACAATTTGATTGCTTATATAGCAAAGAATTTATTTGCTATAAGCAAGCATTTAACTGAATAAAATCGATTCATTCAGGTTTTTTTTTTGTTGTGGTTAGCTGTGATTGGCCACGGCTAATCACATGACACAGATGGCCTGTGATTGGCCCAGTCTGTGCATGTGATCGCTGTGACCACTCACAGCTAGACACAGTTGTATACAATGGATGGCATGAAAGGTAGCCATCCATTGTATACAACTGTCATGTACCGTGCTGTGACTGGTCACAGCAGATCACATAGTACTGGCAACGGGGCCGATACACAGATCTGTCATCGGCTGTGTCTCACCACAGCGCGGCCCTGTGGGCATGCTCAATGCACGATACGAGAAGGACGTCATATGACGCCCTCCCGGAGGGACGAAGTGTTCGCCCGGCCGTCATTTGACCATGGGCTGGGCAACAAGTGGTTAAAAATCCCAAACCACTCAACAAAGGAACAGTTCAATAGTTTTTTGCGCTTACAGCCAACAGTGAACCAAAACTGATGTTTTTTTGTTTTGTGTTTTATAGCACAGATGCTATATACACTATATTACCAAAAGTATTGGGACACCTGCCTTTACACGCACATGAACTTTAATGGCATCCCAGTCTTAGTTCATAGGGTTCAATATTGAGTTGGCCCACCCTTTGCAGGTATAACAGCTTCAACTCTTCTGGGAAGGCTGTCCACAAGGTTTAGGAGTGTGTCTATGGGAATGTTTGACTATTCTTACAGAAGCGCATTTGTGAGGTCAGGCACTGATGTCAGACAAGAAAGGCCTGGCTCGCAGTCTCCATTCTAAGTCATCCCAAAGGTGTTCTATTGGGTTGAGGTCAGGACTCTGTCCAGGCCAGTCAAGTTCCTCCTCCCCAAACTCACTCATCCATGTTTATATGGACCTTGCTTTGCGCACTGTTGCGCAATCATGTTGGAACAGGAAGGGGCCATCCCTAAACTGTTCCCACACAGTTGGGAGCATGAAATTGTCCAAAATGTCTTGGTATGCTGATGCCTTAAGAGTTCCTTTCACTGGAACTAAGGGGCCAAGCTCAACCCCTGAAAAACAATCCCATTCTCCTGGAAACCGCCAAACCCAGACATGTCCATCAGATTGCCATACAGAAAAGCGTGATTTATCACTCCAGAGAACATCTGCTCTAGAGTCCAGTGGCGGCGTGCTTTACACCACTGCATCCAATAATTTGCATTGCACTTGGTGATGCAAGGCTTGGATGAAGCTGCTCGGCCATGGGAACCCATTCCATGAAGCTCTCTGAATCTGAAGACCACATGAAGTTTCAAGGTCTTTATCTATTGACTCTGCAGACAGCTGGCGACTTCTGTGCACTGTGTGCTTTAGCATGTGCTGACCCCGCTCTGTTATTTTATGTGGCCTACTACTTCGTGGCCGAGTTACTGTTGTTCCCAGTTGCTTCCACTTTGATATAATACCACTAACAGTTGACCGTGGAATATTTAGTAGTGAGGAAATTTCACGGATGGACTTACGGATGGCAACCTATCATGGTACCATGCTTGAATTCACTGAGCTCCTGAGAGCTACCATTCTTTCACAAATGTTTGTAGAAGCAGTCTGCATGCCTAGGTGCTTGATTTTATATACCTGTGGCCGTGGAGGTGATTAGAACACCTGAATCCAATGATTTGGAGGGGTGTCCCAATACGTTTGGCAATAGTGTGTGTGTGTGTGTGTATATTATATATATATATACACATATACACACGCATATATACACACACACATATACATATATATATGTATACATACATACACACACACACACACACACATACAGTTGTGTTCAAAGTAATAGCAGTCAGACATCACTAACCTGATCAATCACTGTTTTTGTTAGAAATTATATTTCTACATGGCAAATAATTTACTAGCAGGTGTAGTAGAGTAATAGAAATCCAACAGACCCAACAGTCATGACATGCATGCTGCTGATTCTATGTAATTGAATCACTAATTGAAAGGGGGCATGCTCAAAATAATAGCAGTGTGGAGTTCTATTAGTGAGGTCATTCATTCTTTGAAAAACAGGTGGCAATTATTGCCCTTATTTAAGGAAGGAAGGCAGCAAATGTTGTACATGCTGGTTACAGTGCATTTCTCTCTGAAATTCTGAGGAAAATGGGTCGTTCCAGACATTGTTCAGAAGAACAGCGTACCTTGATTAAAAAGTTGATTGGAGAGGGGAAAACATAAAGAAGAGCAGAAAATGATAGGCTGCTCAGCTAAAATGATCGCAAATGCTTTAAAATGGCAACCAAAACTTGAAAGACGTGGAAGAAAGCGAAAAACTACCATTCGAATGGATAGAAGAATAGCCAAAATGGCAAGGAGTCTGCCAACAATCAGCTCCAGGAAGATTATTATTATTATTATACAGGATTTATATAGTGCCAACGGTTTGCTCAGCGCTTTACAATATAACGGGACAATACAGTAACAATACAGTTCAATACAAGAGGGAGTTGAGGGCCCTGCTCCTTGGAGCTTACAATTTAGGAGGGAGGGGTGAGTGGTACAATAGGTAAAACTGTGGGGAATGGAGTGGTTGGAAGCGTAGAGGATACCAGTATTAGCAGAGGGCGGGATAGGCTTCCCTGAAGAGATAGGTTTTCAATGATCGCCTTAAGGTAAGTAGAGTAGGTGATAGTCTGATAGATTGGGGTAGGGAGTTCCAGAGGATGGGTTGTGACGGGAGTGACTTTTGTGTGTCGGGGGACCTCTGTATCATCTCCCCAAATCATTATGTTTAACCCACCCTGTGCCTGTTAAGGGTTACAGGGTGTGTATGTGAATGCCTGAGTCCTGTGTATAGTGTGTTGTCCTTTGTCTAGGCCACATGGCTGTCCATTGTCTGTTTACCATGTGCTACCCCCCATGGTGCTGTGTCTTCCTGCCCAGCCAACTATTATGGGATGTACTGTTTGTGTATTGGTGTGGGGGTTGGTCAATGTCCTTTGCCACATGGTTGCATCCCATTGTTCTGTGTCTGGTTGGATGGGGAGGGGTGATGAGGTGTTTTGCCTATACTGTAGCCCTTCCCACTGAGAGGGTGGGCTGATGATGTATTTCCTGTTCCTGGTTGTGTTTCCCCGCCCTCTGTATATATTCTGTGTTTTGTGTACAATAAAGTAGTTGGCTTCCTGTTTTGGTAAGAGCTGGGTATTGTCTATTTTCCTGAGGGATTCCAAGGGCGTGGTCCATGGATGGTGTTCGGACAGGGGAAGCTGCAGTATAACGGAATATACCCAAGTGCGGTCGGGTACCGGTTCCGTTACATTGGTGGCAAGCGGTGGGATTGTGCTTCCAACCTGTAAACACATCCAAACCATCACCGGGATCCAAGAGCAGGAGAGAGAGACAGATACCACCTGCAGCTATGGAAACTGAGGTCTTATGGCGCATGCAGCAAGTGCTGGCTTATTTAGATGACCCGGTTTCTACATGGGATGAGCTTGGATGGAGGAATGCGTCTGTCCAACAACTGGATGAGGGTATGGAAGATGGAGAAGTTGGCTCATCCCTCCAAGTACAGATCCCAGAATGCATGGATCTAATTGATTTTTCAATGGAGGACGTTGTGGGTGATGAGTTACCTGCCAAAGTGCTGGCACTGGACTCAAGGGCCTCCAGCCCGTGCCCTGGACATTTAGCCATTCCAGAGACTGGGGATTGTACTGATTTTTTTTCTGAGGAGGAACCAGCCGGGGAGCTGCCAGCTGAAGCGCTGACAACCGGACAGAGGGTCCAGGACCTCTGCCCTACACCTGTGGTAGTTTCAGAGGCCCAGGGTGAGAAGGGAGAGGAGGTTGTTGTCCTCCCTCCCCCACAGTCAGCCAA